ATTCGCAGTTTTTGGCTCTTAAAAATTAAGCGGCTACAAACTTTCGTGTGCCAGTCTCTCTCTGGATATAGACCTCCTTTTCTCCTGGATAAATACCTGGGAGTAGAACTGCCAGGTCAGATGACAGGTGTAGTGTGTTTCAATTTTAAAGAAACGGTCAGGACTATTTTCCAAAGCGACCGTGTTATTTTACATTTCCACTAACAGTCCTGACAGTCCCGCCTCCAAACAGAAACATGTTTAAACGAAAAGGAAGGGCCAAGCAGAGAATTAAACAAGCCACTCCAAAGAGGTGCCTAGGGGCCAGGCTGGAGCTCTCTGAACACAATGAAATGCGAAAGAAATGAAACCACTGTTTGATGTCGCTCAAAAGTGTCTGTGCTGAGCACCCAATTCCAAACGGTAAACAGGAGGCCTAGCAAGGCCTTCTTTCTGCACGAACCCACCCAGTTTGACTACCAACAGTGGGAAACCACACAGTAGGAACGGGACAGTTGCTTCTGAAACGACAACGTGAGGAGCTAAATATAATCTCCTTCCGTGTCTGGAGTACAACAACTTCATACGTACAACAGTTGGCAGGCTGCACACTTGATTCCAATTAGTTCCTTCCTGGAGGACTTGCTTACATAGAACGCTGGGAGTTTGAGGCCAACTGAGTGGGACCAGAGGAAAATTATACTTAGGCCAAGGGTGTGATTCCTGGAGAGGAGCTGAACTAGGCAAGGCCAATCTAACAAGGGGCTGCTCTCCTCACTGCAGGGGCTAATCTGCACAAATATTTAATTGAGAACTTTTAAAAAGAGACGTGGAATTATTTAAAAGCGGGTAATGTCAAAGGTGCTCTAAAGGCTCTCCCACAGCAGGGGACTTCCTACATGGAGAGCAGGAACTGTAAATACAGGCAATACAGACATGAGCACCACACTAACCATGCTGGGGTATTGGGGTGACAAAGGGGAATGGTGGGGGGTATGGTGAACGGGTAAGAGTCCGTGCTTCTTTTAAAAAGAGAAGTTATTAGGCTCCAATTAATCATCACCTTGCAATAAATATGGGCCCAGTGTTACTAGATTTGATTTTTCAAGACAAGGTGGGAATCGGAATTCTTAGGTAAAATCAGATTTTTAAATATCAGCAATTATTTTTAATAAATAAAAGTGCAATTCAGTGGTTTGTATTATATACACAAAGTTGTACAACCATAACCACTATCTAATTCCAGAATATTATTATATTATAAGCTGGTGTTTTGTTTTATTTTATGTGTGTAGATCAAAAAGAACCTGTGTGCAGACTGGAAAGGGCTTGTAGGCTGCCCATTTATAACCTCTGGCACTGCAGGAGTTCTGGGAAGGCTCTTGCTCCAAATAGTTGAACTCATGACATTGAATGAAATTCTTTTTGATTAGAGCAGATTAGATACCCTTCTCATTCCCTTTCCCCATAAAGACTTCCTGTTAACATGCAAAATCATGCCAGGTATACTGGATTCTTGGCCAGTATAAAAAAAAAATCAGCCATTAATGCCTGAGCTGAAATTGAATTAAGACTTTAGAAAAATTCAAGTTATAAAGGACATCGAAAGGGTGATGGCATACGGTTACAAATGGCCAATGCTCACATAATTCTACGGGTGGAGAGTTGAGAGCAGCCACTCCTCTGCTGGAAAGTTTTAGTTGTAAATGTTCCACGTGTTAAGCCAAAATTTGCCTCCCTGATTTCCTCCCCAGCTTCTCCATGGTGGTCTCCTCAAGCTACACATAATAAAGCATAAGAATTCCTTTCCGCATGAGAATTCTTAAATATCCGAAGACGCTCTCGCAAGTGTCTCCGTTCTGTGCGTGAATCTCCATGGTTACTCCAGTCCTCGCTCATTCCACCAGCATCTCGTTACTGCTCCTGCTGCTCTTGGAGCAGATCTCCACCCTAGTGCCTCACGTGTGCCTTGTACTTATGCGAACATAAGACCGTCCCCTAGAGCAGGCTGTGAGCTTCACGGGTGGTTGGGAGCAAGCGCTCTGGATTTGTGTACCCCTAACTTTTCATATTGCTTGGGACATAGTAGACGCTAAGAGGTGATGGAGAGCAAGAAGGGAGGAAGCTCGGAAGAAAAGAAAATGGGAAAGCAAGAAAAAAAAGGAAGGAAAAAAAAGAGGAAGGGAAGGAGGGAAGAAGGAGGAGAAAGAAAGAAAGAAAGTAAAAAAGAAAGAAAACTGATCAGTGAATAAATTTTTAGTACTGTTTCCTGATCCATCACCGCCTCTATGGGCACACCTTTGCCAGTACCATTTTTAAAATGTGGGACTTGGAGCCATGGTCTGAACGTGGCACAGCAGGACGTGAATTAGTTCTCTTAACCCGGACATGGGGTGGCTGTCGATGCGCCCAGAGATCTCATCGGCTGGCTTCCCACCCCCCCACCCCAGGGGTATTCTTACTGGCCATCAAGATAGCTGTCTTTCTCCTTGTTTTTTCTTTTCCCCTAAAAGAACAGCTACTCAGTCGGGTCTCCCCAAAGTGCCATATGAACCCAAGCTCCCCACTTTGTATTTGTCTCCTTAAATTTCGCCCTGTTATTTGCAGCCTGACCTATAAAGATCTGTGCTGGACCTCAGTCTTGCTGTCCACCCAGCGCATTCATTATCTCGCTGCCTCTCTCAGAGCTCAGTTTGCTGTCAGAGCTGTGGCTGTTGCTGAGCTGCCGGGGAGAGCCAGCTGAGATCATGGTCTTGGGGGAACGCAATTGTCAGCAGAGAGTGTCTTGAGCAGGACAGGCCTGGGTGGAGCTCGGCAGACACGGCCAGGGCTGCTCGGGGGACCCAGGAAAGGATGCGATTCACAGACAGGGGAGGGGGCTGAGAGGAAAGATTTCTGATGAAAGTGAACTCTGCCTTTTTCACAGATTTTTCTAGGGCTCCGTGCCACCATGCTACTTCAGAAATATGGACCATCAGTTACTTCCTGTTTCTTTCTGCCTCTGACACATATTGAGTTAATCATCTTGCAGGTGCTCTGAACTTCATCAGTGTTCTCCCCAGTTTGGGTTCAGCAGGCAAACACACGGGCACATTTTTCTCATCTGGGTATGTTGTCAACATCACGATTCTCGCGTTGACCTTGCATCCTCATTAAAATGATGTCGATGATAATGATGTTGCCTCGTTCTGTACAACAGCTTATGCTTTTTTTCAAAGCATTTTCATGTAAATTCCTGGGTCTTCACAGTAGCCCGATGAAAATCAGAGAGCAAGTGTGCTCAGGTCTACCTGACAGGTATTCACCGCTATGGACAAAGAAATGGGCGCCAGTGCTTCGGGAAAGCCACTTACTCCAGAGAATGGCCAGCGATAGACCTTTGGGGAATCCATGGAAGGACTTTTGGGGTCAGGGTATCTTTTGGCAGTTTCATTGCCCTTAGTAAAGTTATTCTCTAGCATGTTTTAATCCTTATGATTTTCATTCAAGAGAGGTGGGAGCTTGCCTTTTTCAAAAGCTAGGGCTAGCTTCCATTACTGTGTCTTGTATTCATTTTTTCTTCGTAAAAAATAAAGGAAATAGAATTGGATAGTTTACTCTGATACAGGAAATTACTGCTGGTTTATAACATATGCAGTATTGCAGATAAGCCAGAGATCTTAAAAAAATCTAAAGAAGGCTTCCTTGGATTGGACTGACCAGAGATTTGTCTATTTTATTGGTTCTACAGAAGAAACAGCTCTTGCAGTGATTTATCCATTGAATTGCTTTCATCTGTTTACATTTATTAATGCATGTAAATCTTTTCTCCTTGTATTTCCAGAGTTCAAAAAATCTTTTACTTAATTCTTAATTACTGATTTTTCTTTTCCATTTTTTGAGAAACATTAAACTCCATGAATTTGCTAGGATCAGATCTTGTGGACCATGGTATCTCTGTGCCATATTCATCAAGTTTATACATGTGGTGTTTTCCTTGTCTCAAATCCCAGTGGTATGTATATAAAGGAGGTGTTGGTTTACTACTCTTTGATTCCAGAGTTATTTTGGAAGATATATTTCTGTGGTTCAACTGGTAGAGATTTTGTTTTTATTTTGGCCTTGTTCTATCTTTGGCTATTAGTTTCTGGTTTTGTTTCATTTTAATTAGACAGGTCAAAGATACGATATTAATTTCTTATGCTTAAGTGAAAGGGGTTAATGAGGGTCAAATAAGCAAAACTCATTGCATTGTTTGTTGAAGAAATAATGAATCAAGACACTCAGCCAACATTTATTGATTGACCATCTATTAAGTGCCAGGTACTCTATTAGCAGATCGGATTCTTGCTCTGTCTGCAAGAACCCTACAAAAGGGGAATTGATTATGTTATGAATTAACAGGAACTGTATTAATGGTCTTTAGACTTTCTGATTCACTGCAAGGTTGCAACACATCCAGTTTGCACATGGCTAAACTGCAAGTCTGGATTTTCTTCATGAATGGGGTAATTGCATAATGAAGGAACTTCCCTATTTTCTGATGATTTTAAAATGAAGGACCTGTAAAAATTGGAAACATGGATTCACCTTGATCTAAGGAATGCTAATTAAGGCTCCTCACTTGCACAGACCTCTTCTAAGGCCCTGACACCGGGTACATGTGGTCATATTCTTTTGTCAAACTTGAGAAGGTAAGATTGTTCAGTTCTTTTTCTTAACAGGTTCTCCTGGATCAGCTCCACTGCTTTTCAGGGCAGGATGTTAGTGGTGATGTGTGGGAGGGAACCCAGTATGTCTGCAATACTCTCGTAATTAGTTTGCATGAAAGAAGAGAATTTGGACAGATTTTTTTCAAACAACTGACATGTTGCTTCTTTCTTTTCTTTTTTCCCTAGCAGCAAATTTATTTAGCAACTTTTACTCCTCCTTTCACCCTTCCCTTTCCTATCCTGTCTCCCCTCCTCACCACCAATGAAATAAATGTGATTTGAACTCAAAATAACCATCATTTGCATGAGATCATTGAGCACTTAATTTACCTCCTGCACATATGGTGGATGGTTCAGCTGCTAAAATTTCGATGCAGGACTTCTTCAAAATCTAGAAAGAGAGGAAATCAATAAGTCAAAGCAAAGTTTATTTTATTAGAAGCAGGGTTTTGCTTTTAGTTACTAACACAGGAAGGTCCAAGGACATTAGGTTATAGTGGGTGGATGGGTGGTAACATCTTTACTAATATTATTAGCATCAAACATTTAATGAGCTAACATTGTGTTAGATGCCTCTGGGTGTTCCCAAAGCCATAAGAGTTATTCCTTCATTTGTTCTTTCAGCAGATATTTATTGAGTCTATGATATGCCAGTCTTGGTTATGGAAAGGTTTAACATCTGGGTAAGGAAATGGGACTTACACTTGAAAAGATAAATAATGATGGTTTGTCATTGTGGTAGTTGCCAGAGTGAAGGGGCAGATAGTAGGAGCTGTGGCGTTCGTGGGGAAAATCACCAAGGGCTGGCACACTGGAAAGGGCTTCATGGAAGCAATGGGCACTGAGGGTAGGACTCCGTCAAGTGGAAAGGAGTGAGTTTGGGGAAGGTTGGGATCCAGGGTGAGGAATGGCATGAGGAAAGGTGAGAAAGCAGAAATACATAAACTTCTTTAGCTGGAACAAAAGGAGCTTGAAAAGTACAAGTAAGAGTGATAATAGGCAAAGCTGGAGAGGTAAGGTGGAGAATCACTTTCTGATTATTCCGAGTTCCCTTTTTGTTAGAAAAGTTCGGAAAGACGTTTCAGGGGAGGACACTGCAGACTGCTTGTTGTGCCTCACTCTTTGGACCCTGAGAGTCTTACTTAAATGGAAATGGACTCTTCTCTCCAAAAGAGCATCTTGTAGGGTTGAGAGGAGAGTATCAGGGGACCAACCCATGACTGCACAGGGTGTTAACCAAGGCTGCTTTGTGCCAAAGCAGGATATCTGACCGGTAGGGCGTAAGCTTCTCTCCACCATTTATGAATTCCGTGTCTTGTTGAGTATTGATTCTCAAATTTCATCCAAGCATTTGAAACAAGGACACTGAGTTAATTTACCAAGTAAATGAAATCTCTTTATTTGAGTCTTACTTAATTTGGAAATGGAGATGGTTCAGAGGGCTGAAGGAAACCATTTCTCTATTTATGAAAGGGGCATTTGTCGAAGGAATTAATAGTGAAATTATAACATTTAAAGTCAGCAAAAGAGAAAAGCATCTTTTAGCATTTAAACACCCATTTATTTGCATTGATGTATTGATTTATGTTTCTTTGTCCCAGCTAAAGCGATGCGGACACCGCAAGATACAATCACATGAAAGATACAATAAATTGCAAGAGAAGAGGACACGGGTTAAAGGAAAAATAAGGGGAAGATGAGGTAGAAAAAAAATACAGTGAAGAGCTTATTTCCTTCCTAGGAGTGGTTCATGGATTTAGTTCTAAATTTCTAGTAGCAAATGAGAAGGTCAAGCAATATATAGGATATTCTCAATCAGTGGAATAAAAACAAATCAGTTTCTAAGAAGAGATAATATTTACCCATTCCAGAGAGAAATCTGGGCGTCCTCATAGAGAAGCATTGTGAGAGGAAATGAAGAACATGCTTCAGAAAATCTTTCTCTGATGTACAGATGACAACACACTAAAATGTAGTCATAGAAACAGGCTCTCTCACAACCATGTGTTTTAGGTAAGTCTATAGACCCAAAAGTCACAAGGAGCAGTATTTCTTCTTCTTGACAGTTCTAAATTCAGGTTTCCAGCTACTTTTCCTGATATTCCTTCTCACTCTTGTACAATTTTTAAAGGCAGTTTTGTACTTAGATTCCTCTATTTGTTTTCAGCTTCTACGTGATTCCATGGGAGGAAGCAATTTGCTCTTTTTTGTCAGTGTTTGCCTTACTTAATTGGTCTCTGCTTCACCCAGACACCCCCGCCTACTACAAACAGGTATAGCCTCAGATCCCCACTTGTGCTGGAGCCTTTTCCAACAGCAACACACATGCACCGAACTCCCCAAGTCCGTGCCCATCTCGGGTAGAGTAAGTGGTTCTCATACACCTGGCCTGGTATCACCACTGAGCTCCTGAGTTCCCTCCATTGTCATTCTCACCTGGGACCAGGGACCCCAAGGATATATGAAGGGCATTCGTGTTTCCCTGCTGGCTTCTCCATCCTCCCCATTCCAATGGTTCATCTAGTCCTTTAGGTCTCTTATGTAGGTAGCAACATCCTAGGACTGGGGCTTCCCAGAATCCTGGTGTGCAGGGACTCATATCCCAGATGACAACTGTCCTACTTGAATCGTGACTGTCCACCCCCTCTCAGCCAGCAAGTTTGCTGTCACTGGGCTTTTCCTGCCTGAAGGGCCACCTCAGCCAGTGGTTGCCTTGCCTGAAGGAGGTAGCCATCCTCCCTTCCACATGTCCTCAGGCACAAATCTCCAAACAGGCCACATTGGAAGAAACAGAATTAACCCGTATAGAGAAACTTAGTAAACAGTGGCATTAGAACAATACAAAGCTGTTTTTTTCTTAATGTTTTAAATAAAATTCCTCAGGCACTTGACATCTCTTTATAAATCATTTTATCATCCACAACTACAGATTTCAAAATAACTCAAGAATAAAAATTGAGCTATTGGATCTATCTTATCTCTGTTCCCAAACTCTCTCAAAACACATACATGATATTTTCCCCCATGTAAGTTCCTGACTTTGAACTGACGTTTTTGAATCAATTTTAATGCTCAACCAGGGGGTTGGTAAAGGAAATACCATGAATCTCTGACCACAAAGACACACTAGCAGGTTTTGTCATAATAAACACATGCTGTATTATTCTCTCAAAGTGTCTGCAATTAGTTGATAAATCTAAGGAGTGTATGAAGGGCCAAAAAATGTCAGCCAAGCACTGTGATTCAATCCAGTAAAAACACAGCTTTCCCAATCTTAACTTAAAACATCTGGAAGGGATGCATTGCAGCCAATACAGCAAAATTTATCAGTGAGGGGGATGGGCAGGATTTGTCTGGGACTGCGGCTTCTATTAGTTTGAAATGTCTGGTTCAAAAGGTAGGAAGCCATGATGGCAGTAGGTGGATTTGAGGGTTTCCCTTGGTTATTAGCAGCCCAGACTATGATCAGTCTGTCTGGGCTGCCGCAGACAATACATCAGCTTAAGGTCTGGAGACTGGATGGGAATTGGGGTGGGAGGTGGGGGCGCAGAGGATCTGTCCCCAACTTGAGCAGCGGTAGCCACGGGAGAGGTGCAGGTCTCACCCTGGGAGATCGCCCGAGGGAGTAGAATGGGCTCACACAGGGTCAGGGTGATGCCGAGGTGAGAGTACATTGGCCTCCGATGGAGACCGGGTGAAGACCACCACATGCAAGTATAATCCAAGGTGGAGAGTGCGTCCTGGCCCTGGTTCTATACTTAACTGACCCAGGGTCCTTGACAAATCCTTTAACTTTTCTGTTTCCTAATTTTGGAGAGCAGTTTGACATAGGGAGTATAGGTTGGAATTCGGAATCAAACTGCTTGGGTCAACTCCTTCATGACCAGTGTGACCTTGGGCAAGTTCCACAACCTCTCCAAGTCTTCGTTTCCTCATTTATAAAAGTGGGATAAGAACAGTACCTACTGCATAAGGCTGTTGAGTTGGGAAGATTAAATGAGATAATACTGGCCGAGCCCATAGCACAGTGCCCGGAACCTGGTAAGTCCTCAGCTAATGGTAACCATTGTTCTTAAGAACTTGGCTCTAGAGACTATATAAGACACATTTGGGCTCTGGATTTATGTCCAAATCTAAGCCCTACCACTTCCTGGCCATGTGGACTTGGACTAGTTATTAAAGCTCAGTTTTCTCTTCTATAAAAGGGGGATAAGAAATACACTGACTTCGCAGAGCTGTATCATGGTAAAATGAATGACTGACATAAATGCAGAGACGCTTTGTAAATTCATTTGAACTTAGATAGTCAAGTTCATATGAGATCGGACAGTCAGGAAGGGAGTGAGATCAAGGAAAACTGGCAAGTTTTTTGTCTTATAGACAGAACTAGACAGAGGTGATTGGTCAGTAGGTAGTAATTTAACAACCCTTGGACCACCAGCCAACAAATGCCCTTAATGAAAACAAGGCACCAAGAAATCGGTTCTCGATGGTAGCTGATACTACTTGGGCAGAGACAGTAGCTCATATATGCTTCTATCTCATCACCCGCCACCGGCTCTTGCTTAATCATATTGGCTGAAAAAAAAAAAAAACCCACCAAAAACGAAAGATGGCTAATAATATATTCCTGTCATCTTTTGGACAGATTTCAGAAAGACTTTATATGGGAAAGCACATTCAGAATCCCTAAAGCACCGTATGAATGCGATGTGTGGTTTGCTCATCTCATTAGATTGTTGAGGGAGTAAGAGGAGCAGCAGATGTAGAAGAACTTTGCCAAGTAATAAGAACTATTCAATATATTTAAAGTGAAATCTATTGTGGATCAGTCCAGGTTGTATATGAGAGCTTATTTTTTTGGATTCGAAAACTCTAGGGTCCTTCCTCATAAAGTTCACAGTTTCTGCAGAGATTTCTCAAGAATCCTCAAATTACTGTGAATTATCACGAACCCCACCCTTACTGTACACACATCTCGTTTTTTTTTTCCTAATTGCTCTGCCTCCTTCCTCAATAAATAATTTTCATTTACTTGACCACTTCCTGTTAAAAGATTTTTTTGCGTGTGTTAGTAAAGACCAGCCTTTTTTATACATTGGTAGTATAGGGGCCTTGTGCTTCCACGCATCCCTGAGAAAGTCTTTCAGAGCACGTTTGTTGGTGTCTTAATTGTTATGAAGGGCGCATTCTGGTTTTAAGAGGTTTGGAGCTTGAAGCAGGCTGGCCCAAGGTCAGTAAACTATGCATTGGCTGATCATGTCTATGTAGCTCTAAGACAAAAACTTGGCAGCTGTCCTTAATCTCACTGTCACCCCACCCTCCTATGCCCTAGTGATTTTACCAATGACATATTTCTGCATCCACCCACAGTTTAGTAGAAACTGTCAT